AATCTACAATTTCATATTTATTAACATTCTTAAAGTTTTCAACACCAAATTTCAAATTCTTTCCCATCAATTGTTACCATAAACCATGCCTAATGAAAGGGGGTTTGAGTTTCTTTTCTTTACTGATTTTTTTTAGACTAGTTTGGGTGTTAAAAACACAATCTTCCTATAATTTTGATGTATGTAGACATATTTAAATGCTAATATCAATATTAAATAACCATTAAATCAACTTTTTTTTATTAACAATAGACTTAATTTTCTCAGCGTATATTAAGTAGAAAAACCACGTGTATGATTATTTGTTATAATTACCTAATATTAAAGCAAATGGAATATATGGTATTGATGATAGTCACCTGAAGCTAACCATATTCAAAGTGAAAGTGGTGCCATCATTACACATGAGTATTATTTCATGTATAATTTCAGAACTTGAATCATCATCATCAGTCCACCTGAGATTTAGATAATTTCAAGTTAAAATAAATAAATAAAAAAACTTAATTTCATGTTTTAGAAAAATATAGGTTTTTTAATTTTTTGTTAACTGCAGATCCTATCCATGTCATGCCTAAACTACCACAACTTCCCATATCTCTAACTTCTTCACACGCTCAAATTCTATCTTGAACAAAGACAAAAGCTCCTTGGATTTTAGATACCCCTTTCTCTCCCTCCCCCTCCCTCTGGCTATGTTTCTGGTGCTAGCTTCATTAGATGTCATATCATCTTCATCTCTGCAAATCCAATCCAACCATTAGATACTGAAATCCCATTTTGCTCTTTTTTTATAACTTCATAGAATTGCTCAAACTTTGTTCTTTTCTTCGGTTTATGTGCTCTGTTTTTTACTCTGTTTTTCATGGCTGCTGCTGCTGCTTTGCAAAGCTTACAAAACCATGACAACACCAACCAGGATGTTAGTAGAAAAGAATTACAGGCTGCCATTGCTAAGGCAGTGGATCTTAGAGCTTTACATGCTGCTGCTTTAATGCAAGGGAACAGCCCTGCTAATCTCAGATTCCCATCTTCTTCCCCTGTTTCACGCTCTGTTCCATACTTTTCTGCTCAAGATTACCCTGTTTTTACCCCTGTAAGTTTCAGCTTATTTTGAGTTTTCTTCACTGGTTAATTACTTATTGTTATACCCATTTTAGCATTATTTCGAAAGGGTATTTTTTTATAATTAATTTTCTTTTGTTGCTTCATTGTTTTCTTGCTATATTTTGCTTCAACATCAAATAGGAGCTTTCACTCTTGTGATTGAACTGGCAAAACAACATGATTTATGACAATATATATTATGACTGGACATTCTTTGTTACAATATTACTATATGATTTAGTTATTTTAATCTTTAATAGATTCCTTAATTAGATTTTCCTAATTTTAGATTTTTCTTTCATAGAAGAGTTTGATCATCTTTCACAGTGGAAAAAAATAATAATCTAAAAACAGAATCTTTATTGTTTAACGAAGATTACAACTTGTAGCCTCTTCATAGTTTCCCTTCATGGATTTTAACTTTGATTTTCATTCCTAATAATTAAAAAAAAAATCTCTTAACTCTTGGATTATTGCTACTTTTAATGTATGATAATGGAAGTTTTACTGCAAATGGTAATGAATTCTATTGTTTTTTCTTTAGAGTTATGAGGATGAACCATTACCGGGACATCATCAGATTCTTACAAAAGCAAGAACATTATCAGAAAGTTGGGATGAGTTTGGCATAGAAGGACGAAGTGGCTATGAAACTGTTTTATCAGATTATAAGAAGGAGGATTCGTCGTCAAGGAAAGGAATTCCTTCTGATATATCCAATATTTGTCCAGCTGAAGATCAAAACTCTGTCACTAGTTCATCAGTAAACAACATCACTGTGTATCAGCCTGAAACAGAATCTTACAAGTTTTCTAGGATGAATAGCTTGGCAGACTTCAAATCCGTATCATCTTTCAATAGATGCAAGCCGGCTACTATAACTACCGAGTCTGGAAAGGTGACCAAGAATAGCAAGCATTCTAATACTGTTTTGCCATTGACTGATTCTCATTCATCCCTTCAATCACAACCGAAAAGTCGAAGAGTGATGTCTTGGTTGTTTCCTAAGTTAAGGAAGAAGCAGAAGAATGATAATTCATCGAACCAAACCGAATCCGAGGAGGTTTCGCAGACTTTCAAGGACTTGGGGATATTGTCAATTGAATCATTGAAAAGAAAATTGATGGAAGCAAATGAGCATAGAGATGCAGCCTTAACGGAGGTTGCTGAGATGAAATCTTCGTTGGGGGACCTAAGGTACAAGCTTGAGTACTTGGAGAGTTACTGTGAGGAGTTAAAGAAAGCTTTAAGGCAAGCGACACAAGCAAAAGACTCACAAGTTGTCGAAAAGCTCGGAAACTTGCCAAATAGAGGGAAATCCATTGATGGAAAAGGAGAAAACTTGATGCCGGTAAGTGAAGAGGTGATGGTGGAAGGTTTCTTGCAGATAGTATCAGAAGCAAGACTTTCGGTGAAACAATTCTGCAAGACTTTAGGACAGATTGAAGAAACAGATAGTACTCTCATGGACAGCTTGAACTTGCTTCTTCAACCATATAAACTGTCTCTAAAATCAAAGTATTCAAAGGCAGTACTATACCATTTGGAAGCCATAATAAACCAATCACTCTACCAAGATTTTGAGAACTGTGTGTTTCAAAAGAATGGCTCGCCAAAGAATCTAGACCCAAACCAAGATCGTCAAGCACAGTTTTCGTCGTTCGTTGCATTGCGAAATCTAAGCTGGAATGAAGTATTAAGGGAAGGGACGAAGTACTACAGTGAAGAGTTTAGCAAGTTTTGTGATCAGAAGATGAGTTGTATTATTACAACAATAAACTGGACTGCAACATGGCCTGAACACCTTCTTCAAGCCTTTTTTGTTGCTGCTAAATGCATATGGTTGCTTCATTTGCTTGCCTTTTCATTCAATCCCCCACTGGGAATTTTGAGGGTTGAAGAAAATAGAAACTTTGATCCACATTTCATGGAAGATATGCTCATGGATAGGCAGAGATCACACCGCCAGAGACGGGTTAAGATTATGGTGATGCCAGGGTTTTATGTCCAGGATAGGGTTTTAAGATGTAAGGTTCTTTGCAGGTACAAGTCTGTGCCTTAATTGATTTAGCATCTGCTGCAATTATGTATCGAGACAGAAGAAATAGAGATAGAGGGGACTCCATGTTTTCTATTTTAAAAGGATAAATATTCACTCTAAAATTATGACAAACAAATTTATAATATTTATCTCTTCAATTAAATATATTTTTATCTTTTTTTTTCCTTCAATACTTCTATTAGTAATCAATAACCAAATGAAATATGCTCTCTCTCTCTCTCTCTCATTTAAAGAAGTTTGTAAGGAATTTATGTGTAAATAAATCATTCAAACGGACTTTCTCAGTTTCTCCTGAGTGCTCACAGATTATTGGCTCATGGAAAAATACTTTTTTTTTTGTTTGATGGAAGAAAGTGCCCAAAGGGATAAGGATGCAATCAGCCATAGTCAATGGTAACAAAATTAGGTCAGTGTTTGGTCAAGGATTAGGTAGAGTTTTGAAAGGTTAATTAAGTGATGTAATTGGATCTTATAATATGATTAATTTGGTGTTTGTGAGATGTGATGGCGATATTTTTATATTGCAAAAAAATAAAAAAATAAATTAAACTATTAGAACAATAAAGTCTGTTGGCTTCAAGCCAGATATTATTAATTTAATTAATTAGCTAGGGAGGGAGTGAAAAAGAATGTATTTCTTAATTATTATTATTATTATTATTATTAAGAAAATAAGATAAACTATATGTTACATAACGAAAACGCCAAAACTGAAGACGAAAAGTCTCATTCTATGACAATTGAAAAAGAATATTGAAAAAAGAAGGAAAAAATGCTACCATCTGCAGAAATAGCTAAGAAAAATCTTAGGAGACTATCGAAACTCTAGAGAGAGAGAGAGAGAGAGAGAGAGAGATTCATATTTTCTCACCAGATGTGTATTTATATATCACATAAAACTTTAAATAGTATAAAATATATATTTCTTAAAACCACTCATAACCTACCTAGTACCTTATTGATACTTTATGACTATTAAAACTCTAAAAATGCTAAAAAAATAGGTTGACAAAATCTAATAATAAAATCTAAAAAATAATAAAAGTACATCATAATTTATCAAATGATATTAAATTGGATCAGTGATTTTATGAAGATTTACTCTCCAAAAGATTGAAAGTTCTCATGCCAAGCATAGTCAGTGCTAATCAAATAACTTTCATATCTATGGATTCGGGATGGCAAATGAAATAGTTTATGGAGTCAAAAGGAGCGGGAAGCATGGGTTTATTCTGAAAGTAGATTTTCACGTCGTCTTTGACTCTGTTTTATGGGTGTATTTGGAAGAAGTAAAGTGGATATCTCGAATACACAAATGCATTCCTGGTAATAAATTGTCTACACTAATCAATGGCTCACTGAGTCAAGAGTCTGGAGGGAAGGTGGATTATGTTAAGGTGAGATCCTCTTTCACCATTCTTTTTTATTTAGATTAATGTGAGTGTCCGGGCCAGCTTGCGCGCACCACGACTAATCCCACGGGCCCTGAAGTTAACGACCATGTAAGTCTCCAGTGGCCATCATATGAGCAACCAAGGACTCGAACCTGAAACCACAGAGAGAGCAAACCCCTTAATTCCAAGTCTTTCACCATTCTTATTTAACTTCGCTGTGGAGAGGTAGACAGCCATCGTTACAGGTTACAGGTGTTTGAGGTTTGAGAGTATGTTAATGATTGTTTTTTAAAGTTTTTTTATTTAAAAATATATAATTAAAATATTATTTTTTATTTTTTAAAAATTATTTTTAATATTAGTACATTGAAATGATTTGAAAATAAAAAAATAAAAAAAATTTAAATATTTTTAAAATAAAAAACATGTCTGTTTTAAATGGGATGCATTAGTAGTGAAATATTTAGGAATTTCATTATGTGGTAACCCGCTTTCAACCTGGAAGCCTGTCATTAATAGAATTCATACAAGGCTGGAGTGTGGAAGGGAAGATTATTAAGCATGTCTGAGAGGGTTTGTCTCATTAACATAGTTTTGTCCTCACTTCCTTTGAATTATATATTTGTTTTGCTAATGCCATAGGTGCTGCTCAAGTTATGTCTTCGATTCAACTAAGGTTTTTGTCCTACCCTCGAACCGCGGGCTTGTGACGTTGCGAAGATTTTTTTTGGGTAGGGTATAGAAAATCTTTTATTTTAGTTGAAGAGTTGACATGTAATATTATAATTATTAAAAATATTAATTAAATTTTTTTGTTTAAAAATTTTAGATAAGAAATTAATTGTGTAAATAAAAAAGTATTAATATTCCTAGTATGTTTTTTCTAAGGTAAATTATATTTTTTTAATTATTTTTAATATTAGTACATTGAAATGATTTGAAAATAAAAAAATAAAAAAAATTTAAATATTTTTAAAATAAAAAACATGTCTGTTTTAAATGGGATGCATTAGTAGTGAAATATTTAGGAATTTCATTATGTGGTAACCCGCTTTCAACCTGGAAGCCTGTCATTAATAGAATTCATACAAGGCTGGAGTGTGGAAGGGAAGATTATTAAGCATGTCTGAGAGGGTTTGTCTCATTAACATAGTTTTGTCCTCACTTCCTTTGAATTATATATTTGTTTTGCTAATGCCATAGGTGCTGCTCAAGTTATGTCTTCGATTCAACTAAGGTTTTTGTCCTACCCTCGAACCGCGGGCTTGTGACGTTGCGAAGATTTTTTTTGGGTAGGGTATAGAAAATCTTTTATTTTAGTTGAAGAGTTGACATGTAATATTATAATTATTAAAAATATTAATTAAATTTTTTTGTTTAAAAATTTTAGATAAGAAATTAATTGTGTAAATAAAAAAGTATTAATATTCCTAGTATGTTTTTTCTAAGGTAAATTATATTTTTTTTTATTGTTTGTTATGGTCTGATGATGTCTATTTCTACTAGTCTACAATAATATATGTGTTATGATGAATAAATCCTGATTTTCTAGGTTAAGAACTCAGTTTGAAAAGTTTAAATATCCTTAATTATCATCGAGACTTCTTTCAAGATAAAACTAGGTTTTTTTACTATCGCGTCATTTCAAATAACATTTTAGATGAAATTCCTTGTGAATTTTATTTTTAACTAATTTTATTTTTATATTATAAGTGAATGAGTTGTATTATTCATAATAATATTCTAGATATGAACTGCATACATGTTTTTTTTTTATCTTTATATTAAAATGGGTAAAAAAATATTATTTCTAATAATATTTTTAATATTAATCATTTTAAGATCAAACACTACAAAAAAATATAGAATACCAAACATGAACCAAAAAATATAGGTTTCAAAATAGACTAGATTTGGTAAAAAAAAAGAAAAGAAGGCATATACACATTGAAAATTACATAAGGATCAATAATCTAATATTCTTTCATTTCACTTTTCAGTTAAACATCATGATTGTTATAAACATGGGTTTCGGTCCTAAACTAAAACCCTATGATTAAAAGTGATTTAAATTGTGTTATTGATGCAAATAAGTACCAGATTACTGGTTAATCATGCATAAAAAAGGATTATGTGCAAAGAAATAGACTGAAATTGGTCCAAATCAAGGGTCTAAGATAATATTTTTTCAAGAACATGAAGAACATTGCCTAAAAACCTAGAAAAAATAGAGCAATGAGGCAACTACTTCCAAGCCTAGAAATGAGCATTTTTGGCTTTTAAAACATATCTTTTTTAATCTCAATAAATCACAATATCATATACAAACATGTTTGAATCTAAAAAACTAAAACAAAATCAAAACATCAAAATCAAGCAAGAGGTATTAAATAAAAAAAAACTTAAAATAGACTATATCTTCACACAACATGGATTCAAAATTGGTTTTCTAAATTCATTTTGTGCAAGAACAGGCCTAGCCAACCCAAGGTGAAACACCATTTCTTTAACATACACAGCTTAAGTTAACAAAAACTAAAACAACATTATATATAAAAAACAAACTTGAACAACAACTTTAACGTATAAAAAAAATTCAAAATAAACATCATTAAATAAAAAACACTACAACAAATAGATAAATACAACATTACTTATTAAGCATTCAAATATTTTTTTAATGCTTATAAACATAAATATAAAAAAAAAGTAAATGAAAAAAAAATATCAAAAGCAGGTCACAAAGGATCTACTTTGGATCATAAAAGTATACCTAGAAAAGCTACTCTCTTTAGTTTTATTTTAAAATTTTTTTGCCTCTCATACACTTGCAAAGCTAAGAAATCTTTTGTTTAAGTTCTTCTACCTCTACACTTGTGTTTTTTTATTGATATTTCTCTTTTTTTTCTCATCCTTTTTTTTTCTCCTTTATCTTTAAGCTTAGGGGGTATTTATAAGATTTTACTAGAGTTTTTGGAGGTTTTGAATCCATTTCTGATATCTTGATTTTGAGGGAAGTGTTGTAAACCCTTGATAAGAACCTATTGAGAAGACTTTGTGTGCGAACACATGAAAAATAGGTCAGTTTTTGCTTGATAGTTACACTATCAGGGCTGAATGGGTTGCCTCTTTGGAGGTTTCCATTGAGCAATTATGACATCATCGTTTGCCTTAGACTACTTGATGTTGGTAGAAGAGATGTACACCTTTCAATTGAATCCAACCTTACTCAATTTGAACATTTGTAGCTCCATATTTATACGTTTGAAGTTGCTAACTTGATCAGTCAAAATTGTCAAAAACATAGGCCAATCAATCAAATGACATGTCACTCATCTTTTCTTTTAAATCTGAACAACGCGTTATTTAAGGTTTTTGACTTGAGATTGAAAAATTTTAATTAAGCCCCTATTCTTTCAATTTCTTTTAATTATACTTATAATCGCCTTAAAACTTTTAATTTCATGCAATTTCATTCCTGAGAAGCTCAATTATCACCCTTTAAGTTGGACACTTATTTTATTTTGATCCTTATTTATGAAGTTTTGTATTTTGACTCTCAATTAATCAAAACTTTTAATTTTTTCAATTTGAATCCTGATTTGATCAATTTCAGTCTTTATATTCATGCTTTTTTTCTAGTTTGGTTCTTAATTTCGGATTTCTTCAATCAAGTTCCTAATTGCTCATTGAACTTCAATATTTATACAATTAAGCCATTGATTTGACAAAATTAACTT